TGGGTACTATTCAATAAATGGCTCAATACATGAGTGACTGTGAGGGAATGAAGGACTATGGCAGGAGGCAGGAAGTCAAGTCAGACACACAACATTCATTACTACGCTTAGACAATGGTATGCTCTAAGAAATGGACATTTATGGGTGATCACTCATTTGCTCATTCAATAAAGCATTATTGTGCCAGGCACAGTGTACCAGGTTAACTGGAAACTTGAACCACTGATAGTGAAATTATTTCTAAAATTGTAGTGTCTGCTTTGTTGCTCAAAAAGAGAGTTGGGGAACATCTGGCCTGTGGCTATACAATGCTAGTGAAATCATTTGGTCTGGCCTTGCCAAGGCAACCACAGGCAGGTCTCATTGCAGACTGATTTTTAAGTTACTAATTTTGTGTCTTGTCTAATGCCATTTATAAAATGCATAGTGGAAAGAACCTAATTCGTTTATTTGTTGTTTAACATCTTCGACTGTGTCCTTGCTTGAAACTAGAGTTCTCTGGAAGAGAGCTCCCGTCTGCTTGCTCATTCTACAAATGCTCATGGCCCCTAGAGCTGGGCTGGGGTTGAGATTGGAACTGGGCACTGGGAGCACAGTCTGGGTCTTTGATATGTGTCCAGTGACTCCACGAATTGGCCCATCGCTACTGCCTCTCGAGATCTGCCTTAGCTGGAAGCTCGAGTTGGGAATCAAGCTCAGGTGCTAGGAGATGGGATGTTGACTTCTTAACTGCTAGGTTAAATCTTGGCTCCAGAGAGAGCAATGTTTAATTGGAGGAGCTTTTTTATCCTGTGTTTTGCAGTGCTAGATATCTAATGAGCTCTCAATACTATTTTCTTTCTGATGGTGTTGAATATGAGGAAGTAATTCCCTTTAATTAAAAGTGTTGATGAGTTGGGTTCTGGTTAGTTGAACTGGAATATGTAAATCAACTTAATTGTGGACCGGCTCTGCCAGATCAACACCTAGCACCTGGTATAGTTTGGTTTGTTTGTTTGATTTTGAAAAATTGCTTCCCCTCCTGAGGTTTCTTTAACATCGTCAATCCCTCAATTCAGCCTGTAACCAGTCCGCATTTTTTTTTCCTTTGGTTGAAAGGATTTTCAGAAGGTTTTTTTTGAAGACTTTAATTGCTGAACTTAATAGGATTGACTTAAATTAATCTGAGTCAGTTGCAGACAATGGAACAATAGGCTGGTACCTCATCACTTGTTTATCTTTTAATAAAAGGAGAAAATTGGGAAGTGTTCCAAACTGAGTCATGGGCAGCAGGAAGGATTAAGTGAGTAAACACTATGGGTTTTGGAGGCACTTGATGGGAATTAGAGAAGCCTCTGCTATCACTCGTAGCCGTTTATTTTCCTAGCATGGCCTACAGCAGTCCAGAGTAAAAATGTCAGCATTCCTGCTCTTGAGAAGCTGATAATCTACTGAGAGAAGACAGACATGTTCATGGTGATGAAGTAACACTGAAGTAAGGGTGGTATACAATTATTTGAGAGAAGCAAGGAAGGTGAGTAGAATTCGTTGGACTGAGACCAAGCCAGGAAAGCTGAAGGGAGAGCTTGGAATGCTGGCCGGTGATGCTGGCTGAGTTGTTTGGGGATGCTATAACAAGCTGCCTGGTATAGTAGTTGATACTCACTGCTTGTTCTGGAGGCTAGGTGGATCCTGGCAGTGGCAGATTTGGGCTCTGGTTCTCAGATGGTGCCTTGTAGCTATGTCTTCACATGATGCAAGGAGCAAGCTGTATTTCTGGAGTGTGTTTTACAAGGGCATTTATTCCAATCATGAGATCTCTGACCATGGGACATAATCACCCCCCGAGGGATGCCCCCTTCGCATCCTAATCTCATCCCTGTTTTTGGAGCACACAAACGTCTTGATCATGGCACATATCCAAAATGCAGCTCTTCATGGACTCATGCTGTATTGTTAAATTACACTTGTTGGATATATCCTCATTTGGATAATTGCCCTCACATTAAGAAAGAAGTTCTTGACTTTGAACACTATGGACAGCTTGGTTCTGCCAATTCTTGGTAGTGCTATTGGTGTCCTGTGCCTCGGAGGATGTTTAGCAATGTCCCTGACTCCTATACCCCAGATGGCCAGCAGCAACATCTCACCTACAGCTAGCTCTTTGTCTTCCCTTATCCTCTACCCAGTATGTTCACCCTTACCAAGGTGACCAGACCTTGCCAAGGGTTCTTTGAAGGGCATGATTGAAGACCATTGCCTTAAAAAAATTCATTTCTGTTACACAGGAAATTACCCCCTGAGGTTCCAGCATCCCTCTGAGGGTATGCTCTTGGCAAGGTATTTCATTTGGCTCCTTGCAGAACACCCCATCACTGATCGCCTGAGCCACCTTAGCAAAGATGTCAAGGAATGCTGAGATTGCCCTGTCCCCAGGGGCTCCTGCCCCTCTTAAATGATTGCTACATGGAAGCAATGCCAACTTTATTGTCCATGAAGCCTTTTTTAAAAGATTGACTTTATTATTTTTTTTTTGAAAGGCAGAGTTACAGAAAGGAGAGAGAGAGACAGAGACAGAGACAGAGGGAGAGAAAGAGAAATCTTCCATCTGCCAATTCACTTTCCAGATGGTCACAATGGCTGGAGCTGAGCTAATCTGAAGCCAGGATCCAGAAGTTTCTTTCAAGTTTCCACCATGGGCTCATAGCCAGGGAGGTGGGTAGGAAGTGGAGTAACTGAGACTCAAATCATGCAAATATGGAATGTCCGTGCTGCAGGTGGAAGCTTATCCTACTGTGCCAGGGTGCTGGCTCCATGAAACCCTTATTTAATATCTGACAGTAAGCTGGGAGAAGGCTATACTTAGTTTGAATATTGAAGCTGATGGGCTAACATCCTACAAGGCTACCCAGAATCATTAATTTAGTATAAACATAATCACAAAAGGGGGCTGGGAAGTCCACTGTAGAGGGAGACAAACTGTCAAGTGGCATTTCAGAAAAACAAAAGCTTTGCAAGACAAAAAAAACCCACCCATATTCTTTCCCAGTTGGAGACTTAAGGTTATTAATAAGTCAGATGTCATTTTTATGCCATTTTGTGCAGCCTGCATATAATTTAAATATTTTAGCTGCTATTATACAACTGGATCCACATTGCTGACCTTCTAAGGTCCTGTTCATAAAGGATGAGGAGAAGGGAACAATCAACTGTTTCATGCAAGGGCTGGCCAGCAGTCTGGGCTTTCCTGCGTTGTCACACAAACTACCACACAGGCGAGCCTTTGGAGCCACTGTGAACATGGCAGACTGGGGACAGAGAGTGATGGGCGGGGGGCAGCCTTTTGGGGTGGGGAGAGTGCCAAAGCTTTCTTCTTTTTGAGAAAGAGCTATCCCACCTTTGTTCTGTGGGAGAATGAAATATCCATTAAGACTTGTGACATCGGGAATTTTGTTTCGGCTCAGTCCCTTTTGTTGTGACTCCACGGCAAAGGAGAGGAATCTGGGGTAGGGAGGTTTGAAGCCAAGAGAAGGAAAAAGAATTCCTTCCAAGGATTTCTTCTATTGTCTCCCTAAGAATAAATATTTATAGAGAAGGTTCAAGTGAAGCCTGTCACAATGGTCACGGCTCTAAGACTAAGCCTTTGAAAGAGTCTTTGTAAAACTATACTTACACTAAGGGTGATCCTATCAACCTTCCCAGGGAAAACCAAGAAACCTCAAGATAATTTCCTATCTGAAATCTAATTGTGTTCTCAAGTGCAATAGGAACACTGCTCTGAATTACCCCAGCTCCATAGACTGCAGCAAAAAATGGACAGCCAAATTGGATTCTAGTTTATGTAATTAAGTTATTTCCCTTCACAGGATCTATAATTTGCCTTGAACAAATGTGATTTGTCTTAGAAAGATAAGGCATTGCAATTTTTCCTCCAAAACAGATTTTCTGTGCCAAAAACAATCACTAAAAGAAGGTCAAATATTGCCTTAATGACACCCTACTTACTATTTGCATGCATGCTTTGAGTGCCTTGTGTTCCCCAAGTGAGGTAGGTATGGTACACTTCAGTAAAGAAATTATCTTGAAATGGAGACTAGAGCTGAAATTTACCCAAGAGCCCACTGCTTGCACAATGGTAGTGTCAATAGCTTTGGTGGTTACCTAGGACTTCAGAGTCTTGTGCAAAAAAAGGCACAATGGAGAGCTTGCTTCAGTGGCCTTTTTTTTCCAGAATCTTTAAGCACCAAGGTTTCTAGTTGCTTAGCAGAACCCCTGAGGAGGTGGTAGTTGTGGCAATACATTAAGAACAAAGGTATTGAGATTTGCATAAAAGATATCACCAGAATGATATTTTGGGCATGGTTAATTTTATGAAGAAAACATTGGTGTATTTTTTTTTTTTAACATTTCAGTTGACTTACAACCAGGTGTTCTGGGGGACAACAGTGGGATGAGTATTAAGAGCAAAAGGTGGATTGACAAATAGAATCCACTTTGTTATCTGCCTGTGTAAAAGTGCAAGTTATGTAACTCCTCTGAACCTCATGCAGTTTGCTTTTTGTGCAAAGGAAAGTGATAATATCTTCAGAAGATTGAGATGAGAAAAAGCAAACAATGGCAGGCATGACACTCATGTGGATTACACAGGAGCTAGCTGTTACACTACTGCATGGCCTTCTTCTTTTCATTAGAAACTGTGCTGGATGGGCATTTCTAACCTTCCACCCAAGTTGAAATGGTTACAGCTTTTGTCATGTTGCATGGTTTGAAATATCAGCTCTGCTACCTACCCAATGCCTTAGACTAAGTCACTTAAACTTAAGCTTTCTGTGTCTCGCTTACCTCCTCTATAGAGTGTAAGGGAATGACAGAAACAGATCTGTCACGGATTTGGGTTGAGTACAATACTCCAAAGAAAATACCTAGGACAGTACCTGGCATGCCAAAAGCACTGCCTATTATTACTTGTATCCACTGCCAACCAAAGGAATGTCAACAGAAATCAGAATGTAAGACAAAGTAATTTTATCATGTTATTTTATTAACAACTTAATACAAGACTGTACATTGTAGGTGCTGAAATCAACCCACTCCTGAAAACTGAAAAACCAGCATTTCTATACCACTGCAGGCTTTGGTTATAAGTGCCATCTTCTACAGAAAAAAATCAGAGTGTAACCAAACAATTTAAGAATAGAAAAAACAAAACCAAGAGAGATGTTCCACAGGAATGAAGAGATTATTTATGCACAAACAGCTGAGGGTCATTTCTAGCTTAACGTGATTCACTACACAGTCTGGAATGTTCAGTTCCCTTTCTACAGTCCTACAACCAGATGCACAGCAACTAACAACTTGGCCACAGGTCCTGCCTAGACGCTCATCAACATGAAACAAAATATTTATATAAATAAGTCAATTAAACCTTACAAAAAAAACTAAAGAAACATAAGACAAAAGTTCAACAGGCAATAAAAACTGTACAGTATCGGTCAGTCTTTTACATCTGAAAAAAAATGTGTAACTTAAAAAAAAGTTCTCTATATATATATGTATATAAAGGTCTTTGACATCAGTGTTAGCTAGAGTGAAAACTTGAAGATTCTGATTCGGTTGAAACAGAAGAATGTCCACCCCGCTTTCCTTTGGAGAGGATCTTGAGGCTGGATCCTCTGCTCACTGAGGTGAGTGCATGCTGAGCGGAAGTTTTAAATTTGGCTCCCAGAAAGGCGTATAGGATGGGATTGAGACAACAGTGGAAAAAGGCCAGGGCCTCAGTGATGGAAATCCATTTGTGCACAGTGTTCTCAAACTCACATCCCTGCTTGATGATTTCAAGGAGAATGAAGGAATCGATGCTGATCCCAATGTAGTAGGGCAACCAGCAGGCAAAGAAGGCCAGGATGAGGATGACCGTGGTCTTGAGGGCCTTGCGCTTCTGATGTCCCTTGGAGTGTGACAGCTTGGAGATGATTATGCAATAACAGGACAGGATGACAATCCCTGGCAGGATAAGGCCGACCATGATGTGTTGAAACTGGAATACAACCAACCACAGGTCACTGGGGTAGAAGCGGTCACAGATGTATTTCCCTTCTACCTCTTTGATGTTGGCAAAAATGAAATCAGGGATAGTCAGCAGGAGAGCTGGGATCCAGACACCAACGTACACCACCTTCTCAGCTAGCAGCTTCCTTGGCCTCTGACTGTTGGTGGCGTGGACGATGGCCAGGTACCGATCCAGACTGATGAAGGCCAGGATGAGGACGCTGCTGTAGAGGTTGACGGTGTAGATGACGTGGACGGCTTGGCACAGGAACTTCCCAAAGTACCAGCTTGCCACAGCGTCCACGGCCCAGAAGGGAAGCGTGATGACAAAGAGGAGGTCAGCCACGGACAGGTGCAACCTGTACTTGTCCGTCATGCTTCTCAGTTTCTTCTGGTAACCCATGACCAGGATGACCAGCCCGTTGCCCACTATGCCAGTCAAGAAGATGATGGAGTAGATGGTGGGCAGGAAGATGCGATTGAAATGGGCATTTTCCTCCCGGAAGCAGGGCTCCTTCATGGAGTCATAGTCCCCTGAGCCCAATTCCTCCGTGTAGTTATCTGAAGTGTAAATCTGCAAAAAGAGGCAAAGGAGGTCACATTGATTTACAAGTTCAGCAAGTATGACCAAAGTTCTGAAGATTGTTCTAATAAGGAGTTTGTAAAAATCCAAATCAGGCTGGCTTTCTTCATGAAATTCTAAAGGACTGGGTTGGGGGGGGTGCGGTTAGGGTACAAGAGAATTATTGTAGGTTCTTGCATCCCTGATTCCCATCCCCCATTCCCCTCCTCACTTCATTATATCTCTCTTTAGTGGAACCAATTACAAGATTCTTTGTGGAGAACAAAAGGGCGCTGAGATTCTGAGACTTTCAAAGTCACATCTTGGCTAACTCTTCCACCCCGCCCACTAGAGGGAGGAAAAAAAGACCTTGAGGAGTGTTAAAAAAAAAAAAGCCTACAAACACAAAGAGGCCACTCCCAGGCGACGTGGGTGTGAGCGTGTGGAGCGGGTTAGAATCCAACTTTGGGGGAGGGGGAGAAGATCTGGGGCTAACTTTTGTTAAGATTTCCCCAGGAGAAGATAGATGGCAGGGAGAGGCGCTGAGGTACCCCAAAGACCCGTAACGTTTTTTCCCACGCCTGTCTAAACCCAAACCAATGCTTTCAGCAACTCGTCGCGTGCAAAGCCCTTAGAGCGACGACCCTTTGGAGCCTTGGGTATTGGGGAACGCGCGTCCGACAAGCACAGGGCACTCTCCTAACCCAAGCGGGCATTCACGGGGGAGACAGCTTCGTGTCTATCATTTGGTGAGTTCAGGAGGTTAGGTAGTGCGGGCATTTTCCTGGGTGGGGAAAGTCACGGGTCCTGCACCCGTGGTCCTCTCCCCAAGTTTCATTTCCTCGCACTCCCTGCAGGCTTCCCAACCCCGCTAGGGACCCATCTAATAGAGTCCGAGGTGGGCAGCCGGAAGGCTCTGGGCAGTGGGTACGCCAAGGACCTGGGTCGCCCATCTCTGGGAAACCACGGCCGTCCTTGTCCACCACGCCCACCACTAGTGTACAACGGTTACAGCAGCTCCGCTGGAACTCCACGACGTGCGAGCGAGAGAGACTGGGCGGCTCCGCCGCGAGGGCTTTGAATTGCGCGCCGCGGGAGGAAACGAAAAGCCTCGGTAGTGAGGGGGTTTCAAAAGGCTTCAGGAAACCACCGACAGTTAAACGCCGCAGTTGGGCTTAGCGAGAGCTAAACCGTCTCCCCGCTTGCACCTGCTGTCTCCGCCGGGGCGACAGAGCAGCCCAGGTGCGGGACCCGACACCCTCGCGCGTCGAGTCCAAGCCGCGCACACTTCTCTGTCAGCGGCTGAGTGGTGACTGCTTATATACATAGCCCGTGGGTCTCTGCACCATCCCTAACCTCAGGATCGACTCGCGGACGTGGGGAAAGCGATTCTCTTCCGACACCCGCCGGGTCTCTCCCTGGATCCCTGGAGCGCTCCGGCAGCTCCGGGCTGCCTCCCAGCTGCTGCCACCACTCAGACTGCCCGGAAAATTGGTGCAGCGGGTCCGTCTTCCTTTCCCGCCCTTCTCCCCGCAGTGCCCGGGCACTGGCACAGCTCCGCCTAGAGTTTAGCAAACAAATGCCCATTGACAAGAACAGCTCCCCAGATCCTTTGCCCGAAGTTAACCAGGAGGGCAACCTCATCTGGGAACTCAGTCCAGGCACGCCCCTTTATCACCCCCTAAATTCGGATAACATTAACTGGCCCGGAGAAACCCTGGCTGTGCAAAGGGGAGACCAATGTAGTGATGCACGCCCCTACGGTGCACTTGTGCACGGAATGCTCCTGTGTTTGCAAACAGCTCGCAAGTCGGAGCGCGCCCCAGGACCCAGGGAGAGTACCACACACGCAGCCATCCCAAAGCTCGTTTCTAGTTTTTCCTTACAGAGAAGAAATATGCTAAGTCTTATTCTCACACAGCTAAGATCATGAGAACTTTCCGTTTCCCTCCTTTGAAGGCACCGGTACCCTCAATGTGCTGGTCGCTTGTGCCCACTCGAAAAGTGCCCTCAAAGTTCACGCGTGTGCACGTTTAGGAAAGAGCAGGTTGAAAATGAACTTACACTGATCCCTTCCATGGTGACTGCTCGCTGTCCAGCCGCGGTGGCTACTGGAGCCCCCTCAAGTCTTCGAGATCACTTTGCTACCTGCTGCCACAGCCAACACTGAAGTTTCTGGTCGAAGCTGGACTTTTATAAAAACACGCTCCCAGAGCAGCGCATGCGCAGCGAGGGTGGGCGGGCGGGGCCGGGAGGGGAGGGGACGGGAAAGGCGGGGTGGTGGTGGAGGGAAGAAAAAAGGCCTGGAGAGTCAGAGGGGGCTGGGGCGGGGAGGGGATGCATCTGAGAATCCACTGACCCAGGACCCTTCTCGGACGGTCGCGTCCTGGGGCCCCGGGCCGGATGGGGACATCGCGGGGACGTTCTGCGAACTTGGGGGAAAAGCATGATGCCCCTGGGGCAAGGCGGGAGGCACGGTTGGGATCGTGTCCCGCCGTGAAGCATACGTCGTCACCCGCGAGGGTTGATTTTCAGACCTGGAAAGGCTTATACCTGGAGACCCCCGGCCACCCTCAGACCCTGAGCAGGATGGACAGTGGGCGTTGCGGGAGTGACCCCGCCAGCAGGCGGCAATATTGGAAATGGGGCCCGAGCTCCTGAGTCCGTTTCCCGCTTTTGGAGCAGTAGGTAGAGTAGCCTGCGGTCGGAGCATAGTTCTGTGTTGCCGGACTTGCACGCTTGCGGTCCGAACAGCAGAGAAGCTGGGGTTTGGCATCATTTACCGAGGCTGTGATGGAGAAAGCCATAGCCACCGATTCCTTGAATAATACTTTAAAATGATAAAAGCGTGTGTCGGGGTAAGAAAAATGGGGAGTCTATGGACTTTTTCAACACAGAATCACTTTTTGATAACGTAGTCACTCGTTATTCTCACAACCCTCGAGGGTCTTTAAGTCCACCGTCACCTCCCGAGATCCGCCTGTGAGCCGCGCACGGTCGCGGGGAGACAGCCAGGGCATGGCCGTGCATGCTGAGGTCGGGACTTGAACCCCCAGACGCACCCCCGTCCCGTATCCTCACCTCCCGCGTCTTCCACCCTTCTATGCGGAGGACAAGCGTGAGAACTGAGGCAAAAAGAGCTGGACCGGGCGGAGAGGAGGACTGAATGGGTAAAGCCTCTCCAGATGAGATGGGGTGTGCAGCGGGCGCCCAGACCGTGCGTCCCTGCCCCGCGCCACTTCGCGCGGGCGGCGAGCCTGGGTGGGGCGGGGATCCAGGGAGAGGCGGGGCCGAGAAAGTGTGCAACCGCAGGCGGGTGGCCACAAAAGCGGTGGCTGAGACCGAGGTGGGAGAGTGCTTGCACCGGCTCAGACTCCAGACGCCCTCCACCCGGGTGGGTCCCAGGGAGGGAGATTGTCCAGACGGGACCATAAACACTGCCCCCTAATTGATGCACAGATAAAAAACTTGCAGCTTTGGAGGTGTTCCAGAGGCCGCGCGCAGGCTCGGGAACCTGTTCTGTGAACAGCGCGGTTTTCTTCTTTCGTAGGGGCCCCTTCTCAGTATGTCCCTGACGGTCCTCGGGGAACTCTGCACTTTCGCCCGTTACAGGAAAGCTGATACGGCCGTCTGGAGTAGGGATATGGGAGGGGGCCCTCTCCAAAGCAACCGGATTAGGACACGCAATGACGAGGACTAGAGAAAGTTGATCAGAAAGTTTTACATTACGCAGAATTTTCCAGAAATTTGTGAGAAATGCTGTTATTTCATCCAATCCTTAACTAGCATAAACTAGGTGAGGGCTCCAATTTCAGACCGGTTGCTTGACTTGCCTATCTGACGCCTGACCAACTGGCAGAAGTCGGTTTTATCCTAAATGCCAGCTGCGTTTCTACCTCAGAACTCCTCCGCGTTCACCAGGCTGGCGTCTGAGGGGTGGAATCTGTTAAAGCTGCTCCGCAAGAGATAAAGTTGCAATAAAATTATTTGCATAATAAGTATTTGTTGATTGTTGGCAGACAAAAGAAAGCCCCTTTGTTTATCTGAAGACTCCTTTTAGGTCCTTTTAGGTGTATCTGCTAGGAGGAAACCAGTAATTAAAAGAACAATGAAATGCTATTTGTCGTCTATCAAATTAGCTAAAACCATTTTTTCCCCAAAGATAATATTTGGTTTCCGGATTTGTAAAGACCAGCTGTCTCTCACTTGTCACTTATGGGAATGTGAGTTGAGACAGCCTAGCTGGCATTTTTTTTTTTTTTTTGGTATACAGTTAGGGCCCTTAAAGCAGTAATTTCACCTATAAGAAACTTATCCTAAGGAAACAGGACTTAGTGGTGTAAAGATACTTGTGTAACCATTATTTCTGACAGTGAAATATCTGCATAGCTCTAAATGTCTGGTTAGTGGAATAGTTGAAAATATTTTTGTGCATCCATATTTGGACATTGCAAGTAGTGTTTTTGAAAAAAATTTAATGATGCAGGAAAATAGTTAGGGAACATTAACTGCAAGAAGTGGCATTCAAAACTGTGTGTATCACAGGTTGAAATATACACTAAGACAAAGATGGGGAGGAAAACCAATACTTATTTTATAGGGATTTTCACTGGGAGGTGGAATTATATCTGTAATTTTTTTCCTGGTGTTTCCCTGTGCTTTCCAAATAGTTCATAAAAGACATGAAACATTTTTCATGTTCAGGAAAAACAGCAATAAGTTTTATGACAAAATAAGGAGCTAGAATGTCTTTCTTCTCATATTTTTTCACTTCCTGAAGTATCCACTTAGATATTGTCATTGGATGTGATGACTTTTTCCCTAAGTTTTTTTGCTCTCCTTTGATGAGTTCTTTTTATTTTCTCCTGAGGTAATCCTACCTAATTTCTTTGTTCTTCTTCTTTTTTTAATGGCATATTTTTTTTAATAAACACTTTTTTTTTAAAAGATTTATTTATTTATTGGAAAGGCAGATATATAGAGAGGAGGAGACACAGAGAGGAAGATTCTCCGTCCGATGATCCACCCCCCAAGTGAGTGCAATGGCTGATGCTATGCTGATCCGAAGCCAGGATCCAGGAACCTCCTCTGGATATCCCACACGGGTGCAGGATCCCAAAGCTTTGGGCCGTCCTCAACTGCTTTCCCAGGCCACAAGCAGGGAGCTAGATGGGAAGTGGAGCTTCCAGGGCGAGAAATGGTGCCCACATGGGATCCTGGCTCGTTCAAGGTGAGGACTTTAGCTGCTAGGCCATGCTGCCGGGCCTTTTGATGACATACTTTACAAAAGGAATAGTGGTAGGCATTTGGTGCAGCTGTTAAGATGCTGTTTGGACACCACATCCCGTATCTGGAGTGCCTGCGTTCGAGTCCCAGTCTCTGCCTCCAGCTTCCTGCTACTGTGTGTGTGTCCTGAGAAGCAGCCCTCTGGAGACTGCTGGGATGGCTCAACTAGGTGGGGGCCCTGCCACCCAGGCAAAAGACTTCCTTTCAATTCCTGACTCCTAGGCATATGGGAAGTTACTGACCATCTGTCTTGCAAACATATAAAACAATGAGAAAAATATAAAAACTCATTTCTTGAGTGTGTGTGTGTGTTATATGTGCTGCTGATTTTTGATGATCTCTAGAATCCCCTCTAGAAGGCAGTTGTAGGTGTTTTCACCCCTTTCCGCAGGGTAAGAGAGCCAAGTTTGGAGAGAATGAGCAACTGCCTGCGATCACTTGGAGGACCTGCGCTCAGTCTATCTGGCTCCAAAGCCCAGGCTTTCCCCACTACATCCCAATGTCGCCTTTCTCTGTCACCCTCTGGAAGCTCTCTTCTATTGGAAGGTCATGTGGCATTTACTTACAGGCTGCTTTGAATGGTATCTCTTGTGATGCCATTATACTTTCAAATGCGTGTATGTCTTTACCTCTCTTCCCCAAATATTCTAGGAGCTTTAAAGTGAATGCTTTATCCAACTAGTCCATGGCTGAACAAATGACAACCCCCCACCCAAAGCCTTCATTGAACCTTTATTTAAAGAATTAATGACTTCCTTGTGTGGCTGTAGCAACTGAGCCAGGGTTAGGAGTTGTCGAGACTTTGACAGGGTCTGCAGGTTTCCAGATTGGCTGCTCTCCCAGGGAATCACTAACCTTGGCTGCAGTTTGGAGGGAAGACATACGAATCCGGGGACACAGTGGCAAGCATCCTGCCATATCCTGTTGCTTGCTGTACAGTTGAAGGATTTGGATGTGAGCTCGTGTGCCTGCTTGCACAACAGAAAGCTGTACTGTGTCCCCAAATAGACTGTAAGTCAGTCAGGGCACCAGACCTCTTGTGGGGATAGAAAGCAGGACAGTAGTGACCTTAAGAATGCATGGGACCCTCATTGCTTACCCTTTTCCCCTCCCTTAAAAAATTGAAGAAAGTGGAAAGAGCACAAGCTTCTTTGAGTGCTAGACGGCACTCAAAGGGACAAAGCTAATGTTTTCCCAAGTGATTACAAAGAAAAGGAGACTATTTTCCAAGGACCAGGGTAATTCTAGCCCCAGGTTGCAAATCTCCAAGACACAAGGCTATCAAATGTCCCCCCAGGCTTATGTCAGGTGGAAGAAGTGGGGCCCTGCCTCACCACACCCAGCCCATTCCTTCTTCCCGAGGTCCTTCTTGTGAAATATGATTTTGGAGAGTAAACCCAAGCCTTCTAATCTCGCAGTTCCATATCAAGTTAGGAAAATTATTACTGGTTCTCTGGGAGCCATTTTAACTTTTAAAGTCATTCAGATCTTCAATTGCCAAAAGGCTTGCCTTCACCAAAATGAGAAGGTTAGTGATTTTCCACAAAGCTTTATAGCGAGCAGGACAAGACAACAAAATTTGCCCTGCGAAGAGAAAAAAACTACCCTGGTAAACAAATACAGGCAAATTAGAATCACCCTGGTAAGTCATTGTAACAAAGGGGCCACTTCATTAGCGGGCAGTGATCATTGCTTGACTAATCCCACTGCAAGGAGAATGGATGGTTAAAGTTTGCTGTGCTTCCACGGCAGGTGCTGTGTGGCTTTGCAGGAAGAGCAACAAACAGACTCAGTCCTGTTGCCTCAAAAATTGTGGTGTTAAGCTGGAAGAAGGGCATGACTGATTTCAAGGAAATAACTAACTGAGCAAGTCCTGTTCTCCATG